TTATTGCACTTTGCGACACAAATAATTACTTTATTTTTCAACTTTTGATTTTTCTTCCAAATACACTGACTTCTTGTTTTTTTTTTCTTTTTTTCTTTTTTTTTTTTTAACTTTTTTCGTTGCAAAATACTTCGATTGCATTAATGATTAGTTTCACGAAGCAGAAACCGAAGCTAACACGGCTTATTATTTATTTATTTTATTTTATTTTATTTTAATTTTTTTTTTTTTTTTTTTTTTTTTTTTTTTTTTTTTTTTTTTTTTTTTTTTTTTTTTTTTTTTTTTTTTGGACATAATACCGTGTTAATTTGCTTCTCAAGTTCGATAAGTATCTGTGCAACGTGGTGAAGCAGTACACGTCATAGTTTTCTAAATACGCGAATGAGATCACGACCCAAATTCAAACCAGAGCAAATACTTTGAAGCTAATCGATTATAACTCTTTAGTTTTCTGTATTTTTTTCCTTTTTTATAAACTTAACGTTATATTTTATTTATTTTCCTCCCCTCCCCCCGATTTTTATTTTTTGTTTTTTGTCTTTACAGAATAGAAAAATTCGATTGATTACTAAGTTCTCAATAATATAGGTATTTTTATAAAGAAAGAACAACAACGAGGTGGGAGAACTGGGATTGGAAGTACAATCGCATTAAATCATACGGTAATTCGTCAAGTAACGTGAAAATATCTACAGCAACGGATTCAAAGATAATATACACATTTAATAACACCATGATTTTTTTTTTCTTTATGAGTGGATCATTTTTTTTTTATCGTCATAATAATAATAATATTATCATTGTTGGCTGATACATACAAAACAACACACAATAAAAACAATAACATAATATTAACGTGACGCTCACAATAATAATATATATAATGATAATAATATAATAATCATAACCTTAATAATCATCATAAACATTGTGTCCTCGACATAATAATTATTACTAATTACAACTTTCACCGAAAAGCTTAGCTGACGCGATGACTGGGTCGCGACCGGGATTCTTTAATTTTTTTTTCTTTTGTTTTGTTTATCATTACTATATAGTTTTACTTCGATTTTCCAATCTTCTTCATTTATCGTTCGTTTCAATTTCTTACTTATACCATATTATATTATCATCGTTACAGAATAACTATCATAGTACTGCGGCAGAACTATAATACATTTGTCCGGACCCAGTTTCACGGGTCGAGTGATAACCAATTAGTCCAACCTACCATCTTGTCTTGTTTCGCATATTTTCATTTGTCTTCACTCTCACTAATTGTACTTGCATTTTTCTAATCAGTCACATTCGCGCCTAAATTTGTATTAATTAAATTAAAAATGCCAAAACATGAGAACACAGCTGGAAGCATATCGAAAAATAAAAATAAGAACGACATTTTCGCAATACGATTTCATCGACTTAAAAAAATATCAAGCTTTTAAAAAATTTCTCTCTCTCTCTCTCTCTCTCTCTCTCTCTCTTACTCTCTCTTACTCTCTCTTACTCTC